ATTATTTAATAGCCGAAGACCCGTGTAAGGATGAACGGCTCCTAAAGACATGTAATGATGATGCCAGGCGATCCTGTCTGGGGAGAGCTTTCCACAGATGGGGAGCCACAGCACTGCCACTCCAAGAAGGTCTTGCTTCACCCATCGCCACAGCCTTGGATGTGAGCAGAAATCAGGCGTGTCTCTCCCTTACAGGCTCCAGCCTCCTTCTTCCTCCATCTTCTAGCTTACACACACAAACACACAACTCAGATCTGGTCGTTGTCTTTTCTAACTACCAGTGAGTTAAGGGAAGGGTTGAGGGTTATCTGGCCCATATTTTGTTGTTGTTTAGTCATTTAGTTGTGTCCGACTCTTCGTGACCCCATGGACCAGAGCACGCCAGGCACTCCTGTCTTCCACTGCCTCCCGCGGTTTGGTCAGACTCGTGCTGGTAGCTTCGAGAACACTATCCAACCATCTCGTCCTCTGTCGTCCCCTTCTCCTTGTGCCCTCCATCTTTCCCAGCATCAGGGTCTTTTCCAGGGAGTCTTCTCTTCTCATGAGGTGGCCCAAGTATTAGAGCCTCAGCTTCAATACTTCCAGTGAGCACTCAGTGCTGATTTCCTTAAGAATGGAGAGGTTTGGTCTTCTTGCAGTCCATGGGACTCTCAAGAGTCTCCTCCAGCACCATAATTCAAAAGCATCAATTCTTCTTATCACATCAGGGAGCTAGCCTGACTATTCCAGGAATCAGATTATATCTTAGATTTTATCACTTGCTGCATCCAGGAATTAGAAGGGTCTCGGCCTATGGCCTACTCCCCTCCACATCTCATAACATTATCTTTCTGATGAGAAACAGGGAAAGGGTATCCGGTGTGAATTGCAGGTGACTGTATATATCTCTTTCCTCTTCCACCAGCTGCAGGTTAACTATCTATGAAATCCTTATGAGTCACTCCCTGTCCTGTTCCCCATTCCTCACGGTAAAATACAAAAAGCAAGTCTTTTATCATTGCCTGCATACAATACAAAATGAGACAGCCTGCCTGCCTTCACAGAAAATGTATATATTTCTTTGTAGGGGAAAAAGCTTTCTCAGCTTTTGATCTCCTGTTCCTGAGAAGTAAGGTTCCGAGCGAGTAACAATGTGTGTTTATATAACTTTGTGTTGCTGAATAGCTCCACTGCCAATGAAAAGGTGCACCTGGTTCTACATGAAATGCACACAAGCCTGAAAGGTGCATACAAAATGCCATATGGTCTCTGAGGTCAGAGACAGGTTCTAGGGCTCAGAGAAGGAAGGAAGGGCTCAGCACCAAACCTACGAAGAAGTTTGTCATTGTCTCCTCCTGCTGCTCCCTTCCTCATCTTCTTAGCTGACAATGAATATTTGAGTAGATCTAGTTCTACTCAACTTAGCATTTATAATAATAATAATAATAAATTTTTATTTATATCCCGCCCTCCCAAGCCGAAGCCGGGCTCAGGGCGGCTAACAACAATAAAATAATACAACATTCTAAAATCATTTCATTATAAAATTAATTCAAATCAAATTGATGGCAACCATTGGGCTAGGGTTCTGTGAAGATTCCCAGAGGAGGGGGTCAGGCTGTGCCTTGGCCAAAGGCTTGGTGGAACAGCTCTGTATTGCAGGCCCTGCAGAATGATGTCAAGTCCCACAGGGCCCTAGTCTCTTGTGACAGAGCGTTCCACCAGATCGGAGCCACAGCCGAAAACGCCCTGGCTCTGGTTGAGGCCAGCCTAACCTCTCTGTGGCCTGGGACCTCCAAGATGTTTTTGTTTGAAGACCGTAAGTTCCTCTGTGGGACATACCAGGAGAGGCGGTTCCGTAGGTACGAGGGTCCTAGGCCGTATAGGGCTTTAAAGGTTAAAACCAACACCTTAAACCTGATCCTGTACTCCGCCGGGAGCCAGTGCAGCTGGTATAGCATCGGGTGAATGTGATCTCACAGCGAGGACCCCGTAAGGAGTCTCGCCGCAGCATTCTGCACCCGCTGGAGTTTCTGGGTCAGTCTCAAGGGCAGCCCCACATTTAATTAATCCAGTCTGGAGGTGACTAATTGACTAATGGTGTTGATGGGAAGCCATTCACATTACACCAGTCTTGCAACAGCTGCCCTGCTTACCAATCTGCTTCTGAATTGGAGAATTCAAAGTGTTGGTGATTTCTGTCCAGGGTACCTTGTCCTCTCTAGCCAGAAGGAGGGACCTCCTCTGTGTCCCCTCTAGCGTGGGAGTGTGCTTAAGTGGGACAATAGTGAGAGCCATCTCAGTTGCCACACCTAAATTATGAACACCCTCCTCTTAAAGTAAGGGATGCGGGTGGCGCTGTGGGTTAAACCACAGAGCCTAGGACTTGCTGATCAGAAGGTCGGCGGTTCGAATCCCCGCGACGGGGTGAGATCCCGTTGCTCTGTCCCAGCTCCTGCCAACCTAGCAGTTTGAAAGCACGTCAAAGTGCAAGTAGATAAATAGGTCCCGCTCCGGTGGAAAGGTAAATGGCGTTTCCGTGTGCTGCTCTGGTTCGCCAGAAGTGGCTTAGTCATGCTGGCCACATGACCCAGAAGCTGTACACTGGCTCCCTCGGCCTATAGAGCGAGATGAGCGCCGCAACCGCAGAGTCGGTCACGACTGGACCTAATGGTCAGGGGTCCCTTTACCTTTACCTTTAAAAATATACATTTCAAGTGTCAAAAGCCAGCCTAAAGATGTGCGTCTTCAGCATTCACTGGAAGGTGTATCATGAAGATGTCAGGCACACTGCTGTGGGGAGGTAATTCCACAACTTATAGGCTGCCCCAGAGAATGCCCTCTCCCAGGTTCCTTCTAAGCACCTGAGGATGGTGAAACAGCCAAAAGGACCACTCCGCCAATCCTAACACCAAGGAAGATCTGTAGGGAAGGAGGCGATTTGGGGCCTGAGTCATTTAGAGCTTCAAACATTAACGTGAGCCCCTTAAATTGGGCTCAGAAATGAACCGTCAACCAATGCAGCTGTTTTAAAGCAGGGGTTACGTGAGATCTAAAGGTGACCAGTAATCTGGCCACTGCATTTCGACCCAACTGCAATTTGTGAGTGGTCTTCAAGGGCAGCTGTCTGTAGAGCACATTGCAATAATCCAATCTGGAAGGTACCAGAGTATGGAGTACAGTGGCCAACTCATTTCCACCCCAAACAGGCCATAACTGGTGAACCAGCAAGAGCTGGGGGAAAAGGGCATTCCTAGCAACCAAAGTCACCTGAGCCTTCAGGGCCAGTGATCAACCCAGGGAACAGCCACAATCAGTAGACCTGCCCTTTCTAAGGGAGTGCAGCCCCATCCAAGACACACATAACATCTCTGACTCTCAGGATTTAGCTTCAGTTTATTGGCCCACATCCAACTCATCACCCATCTCTAAGCAGCAGTCTAACACCTCGATGATCCCTCCCGATTCAGATGAACAGAGAGACAGAACTGGGAGCTACCTGTATATTGGTGGCACTTCTGACAAGACAGAAGTACTGTTTTGGGGGGACAGGGGGCAGGCGGGTGTGGGGGATTCCCAGGTCCTGAATTGGGGTAACTGTGCCCCTGAAGGACCAGGTGCGCAGCCTGGGAGTCATTTTGGACTCACAGCTGTCCATGGAGGTGCAGGTCAATTCTGTGTCCAGGGCAGCTGTTTACCAACTCCATCTGGTATGCAGGCTGAGACCCTACCTGCCCGCAGACTGTCTCGCCAGAGTGGTGCATGCTCTAGTTATCTCCCGCTTGGACTACTGCAACACGCTCTACGTGGGGCTACCTTTGAAGGTGACCCGGAAACTGCAATTAATCCAGAATGCGGCAGCTAGACTGGTGACTGGGAGTGGCCGCCGGGACCACATAACACTGGTTCTGAGAGATCTGCATTGGCTCCCAGTACATTTCCAAGCACAATTCAAAGTGTTGGTGCTGACCTTTAAAGCCCTAAACGGCCTCGGTCCAGTATATCTGAAGGAGCGTCTCCACCCCCCACTGTTCAGCCCGGACACTGAGATCCAGTGCCGAGGGCCTTCTGGCGGTTCCCTCATTGCGAGAAGTGAGGTTACAGGGAACCAGGCAGAGGGCCTTCTCGGTAGTGGTGCCCACCTGTGGAACGCCCTCCCTTCAGATGTGAAGAAAATAAGCAGCTATCTTCTCTTTAAAAGACATCTGAAGGCAGCCCTGTTCAGGGAAGTTTTTAATATTTAACGCTGTACTGTTTTTAACACTTGATTGGGAGTTGCCCAGAGTGGCTGGGGAAACTCAGCCAGATGGGCGGGGTATAAATAATAAATTATTATTATTATTATATTCACTCCCAAATATTGTGATAGCACATGAGACAAGGTGGAACCCCGAGGGACAGCACAGGATAACTCTGAGGGTGCCAAACAGTTGTTGTTGTTGTTTAGTCGTTTAGTCGTGTCCGACTCTTCGTGACCCCATGGACCAGAGCACGCCAGGCACCTCTGTCCTCCACTACCTCCCGCAGTTTGGTCAAACTCATGCTGGTAACCTCGAAAACACTATCCAACCATCTCGTCCTCTGTCGCCCCCTTCTCCTTGTGCCCTCCATCTTTCCCAGCATCAGTGTCTTCTCCAGGGAGTCTTCTCTTCTCATGAGGTGGCCAAAGTACTGGAGCCTCAGCTTCACGATCTGTCCTTCCAGTGAGCACTCAGGGCTGATTTCCTTAAGAATGGATGCGTTTGATCTTCTTGCAGTCCATGGGACTCTCAAGAGTCTCCTCCAGCACCATAATTCAAAAGCATCAATTCTTCGGCGATCAGCCTTCTTTATGGTCCAGCTCTCACTTCCATACATCACTACTGGGAAAACCATGGCTTTAACTATATGGACCTTTGTTGGCATCACGTTTGGTCAAAACTCTCCACTATGACCTGTTCATCTTGGGTGCCCTGCTCGGCGTAGTTCATAGCTTCTCTGAGTTCTTCAAGCCCCTTCGCCACGGCAAGGCAGTGATCCATGAAGGGGGTGCCAAACAGTAGTCTTGCACAACTACTTCCTGGAAACTGCCTTGGAGGCCAGAGCAGAACCATTGAAGCACAGCATCAACCATCTTTAAGGTAGCATTTAACCTAACAATCCGAGACTGAATGATATAAGGTTTAACAGATTGCTTCTCAAGAAAACTAATGAATAAGAGGCATTTAAGCAGACCAAGCGCCCTGCCTACAGACCAGAACCTTATCTAGCTCTGCAGCTGCGGAATAATGAAATAGAAAGGTCTAAAGCAAAAAAAAAAAAATGTTGAGAGAAGATTTCTATCTTCAGTCCAGCTTTGGAAGATGAGCCCTGAAAGGGCCAAGAAAAACATTTGGGCTGCTGTTGTTTTAGCTCAGTGGAAGACTTTAAAGTCTTGGCAGGGAGCCAAGGCAGAATACTAGATGTTTTGGACTGTCTGTCTCTCTCGCTAGCTGAAACATAGTGAGAAAGGGATAATGTCAATGAAAGGGTGCACACCTTGCTTTCATTTGTCAGTTCTTCATGACTTCTATCATCGTCCAAAAGTGACACCATTAGAAATTCAGCTCGGCAACGTATCACTTCATAAGAAGAAGGCTGCGAAAGAAACTTGTGTTCCACAGATGCACCCAAGCGTATATATTTCTGTTTCGGAATTTCTTGAGCAGTTTTGCCTCTGAGAAAACAATTAGAGAGAAGACCATTGCTTTTTCCTTGACTGGGAAAGCTTTGTTGAGATGAACTGGGGCGGGGCATTCATCAAAGAAATCTTCCTGTCGATAAACCTGCACTTGTGAGCAGCTGTTCAGTCTTCCTTTTTCTTTTATCTAAAAAGTGCCACAATTTATTGTGCCAACCTGACCAGGTGCCAATTGTGCCATGCCATTCAATATGTTCCCTATTGATAGAGCTGGGCAATACAGGAAACACAAAAAAGGAATGCAGGTATTGTTACAACTGGTCAAACAAAACAGCTTTTTAAAAAACCACTGAGTGACAGGTGTGCTTCCTTAACCCATTTAATATTGACGCTGGTAGGCTTTTACGGATATAACTGGGGGATGAATCAGCGAAAGTGGGAACAAATTTTAAGAGCCAGGGAAGCACACATTTATTTTTTAAAACTATTTTGAATTTTATTTGTTCCTATAGAATGGAATGAATATATATATATATATATATATATATATATATATATATATATATATATAAACAACATCGTTCCCTTCTACTTACGTGCTAGATTGCATTTATTAAATTTTAAAATGTCAGATTCTTCCTAAATCGTAGTTATAGTAAGGTACAGTGGTACCTCGGGTTAAGTACTTAATTTGTTCCGGAGGTCTGTTCTTAACCTGAAACTGTTCTTAACCTGAAGCACCACATTAGCTAATGGGGCCGCCTGCTGCTGCTGTGCCACCGGAGCCCAATTTCTGTTCTTATTCTGAAGCAAAGTTCTTAACCTGAAGCACTATTTCTGGGTTAGCGGAGTGTGTAACCTGAAGCATATGTAACCCGAGGTATCACTGTATATATAAAGCATAACTGTCACCCTGTGGAATCACTGGAAGAAATGATTCTTTGAAGGATAGCGTGTTATTCTGAAGCTACCATAAAAGGTAAAGGTACCCCTGCCCGTACGGGCCAGTCTTGCCAGACTCTGGGGTTGTGCGCCCATCTCACTCAAGAGGCCGGGGGCCAGCGCTGTCCGGAGACACTTCCGGGTCATGTGGCCAGCGTGACATCGCTGCTCTGGCGAGCCAGAGCCGCACACGGAAACGCCGTTTACCTTCCCGCTAGTAAGCGGTCCCTATTTATCTACTTGCACCCGAGAGTGCTTTCGAACTGCTAGGTTGGCAGGCGCTGGGACCGAGCAACAGGAGCGCACCCCGCCGCGGGGATTCGAACCGCCGACCTTTCGATCGGCAAGCCCTAGGCGCTGAGGCTTTTACCCACAGCGCCACCCGCGTCCCTGAAGCTACCATAGTGGGAAATAATTTACCTTTCGAAATGCTCAGACAGTTACACTTTGTGGCTGTATTGATGTGAAGGTTAATGGAGGGAAAATGAACCTTTAATAAAATATAAAGTAAGCTTACACAATATTTCAGTTCCTGTTTGTAAAAGACATTTGATTTGGCAGATCTCAGAAGCACACGCTGTGCTGTTTTAAAACGAAGTTAGCTTCACTCACGGAAAGTTTTATTTTTAAAAAGGAACAGAAATATTGTAATATGCACTATGAGTCAATAAAGACATCCTCAGACGACGAACTGGCAGCGGGCAGCATTTTTAACCCCGGTAGAAGTTAACCTCGGGGAATTCTAGCTGTGTAACTCAAAATGACATGCCTCCAGCACTTACTTTGTCTTAAAATAAAAAATAGAAGTTATGTCCACTTAAGTACCTTTTTTTCCTTCCTTGAGCTGCTGTAATCAGAAACAGTCGCCTGCAGAAAATAAATAAAGCATAAAGTGATTCATTTTAGAGTACAATCCATACGCCGTTGCATGAAGGAAAACTTCTGCCTCCACAAAAACTTTTAAGAATTCCTGGGAGAAATGGAACGGAAAATGAACTGGAACTAGAAATGTGCAGAAGCTGTTACCACGTTAAGTGACAGTTCTTTCTAACCTGGTCACCCTCACTGTGTTTGAGAAAGGCTTCTTAAATCTTTGAAAATTAGCCTGCAATCCGACCCCCCCCCTTATCTAAGAGTAAGCCCCATTGAATTAAATAGTACTTGCTTATGAGTAGAAAGAAAGAAAGAGAATAGAGGGTACTAAATTGAAATAATCAATTCTAAACAATTCGTAAACTTACTTAATGTTTGAATGTTTTAAATGTATTACATATGCATGGCATGTTTCTTGTGGGTAGCCTAAATGAGGTTTATTTGTATATGTGTTTTTAGTAACTGAAAAACAAAGGAGTTGTGTCTGCCATTGCAGCCAATACCTGCTCCTTCTCATTTTGTGTGTTGGATTGCAGAGATGTTGTGCAGTCCAAATCACACCTAAGGTTGAGATTTCCTTTTAAGTAAACATAATACTAAAGCTGCAACCCTAAACCCACTTACTTGGAGTTAACCCCCTTTTAATTCAATGGCACTTACTTCTGAGTAAACACATTTAGGATCCTGTCCTACAAAGGCTCCTGTTAGGACCTATATCTAAGTAGACATGGTTAGGATTGTGCTGTAAGGCTACACATGCTATATGCAGCAATTAGGCAATAGTTATTCACTGTGTTGAGCAGTAGGACTATATGTGCAAAGGCTTACCTGGAAGTAAGACTCACTGAATTGAGTGGGACTCCTCTGAGTAGACATGGTTAGGATTCAGGCAGGTGGATAGGCCCCCTGAGGGGATGAGGTGCAGCTACTTTTAGAACAAAATGGAAAGTTGATTAAAGACTAAAAACCTGTGCAGCAGAGGGCGACCGTGATGATCAGGGATCTGGAAACCAAGCCTTATGAGGAACGGTTGAAGGAGTTGGGTATGTTTAGCCTGCAAAAGAGGAGACAGAAAGGAGTTATGATATCCATCTTCAAATACCTCAAGGGCTGTCACATGGAAGAAGGAGCAAGCTTGTTTTCTCCTCCTCTGGAGGGTAGGACCCTAACAAATGATTCCCATTACATGACTGGAGATTCCAACTAAACATCAGAAAGAACTTTCTGGTGGCAAGAGCTGTTTGACAGTGAGAACTTCCTCAGGAGGTGGTAGACTCTCCTTCCTTGGAGGTTTTTGAAGCAGGGTCGCTCCCAACTCTCTGAAACTATGACCAGCCATAGAAAAACACACCGATTCAACTGTGTCCTCTTAAGCAAAATGTTAGAACAATGAAATGGGAATGACCTTTTCAGGACAAAATTGACCACGTCTTAAATTCCTAGCTAAGAATTTGGTCAATTCTGGGAAGGAATGGAAGAGAACTTCTGGGCAGAGAATGAAAGTACAGGAAGCAGAAGCCAAGGGAGAAAGTCAGGCAGAGACTTAGTTCCACAGTTTGAGGCAGCTGAAACTTCACCTTACCATCGCTTTTTGTATGTTATATCTTTTCTTTGATAACTATGAGTCCTAGAAACACGCAGTGTTTTGAACTAACAGAAGCTGGAATTCTAGTGCCATTTGTAGAAGTTGCTTCAGAAAGTCTACAATAGCTCCTGAAGAAATAGCTTAAGCTCCAAACTACATTGAGCTACAATGCACTAATAGTTGGCAGTTTTAAGCACCATTCTCCATTTTGCATTATTCCATCTGTGCCAGACACAGCCTACAGCCAGGCTATTTAAGACTTTTCTGTTGGCTTAAAGCTAAAACAAACCGAGAGAGAGCAGAGTCGAAACTAGTTATGTTGTCTTTCCTTCCTAACTAACTATCTTTCCATCGCAGTTTCTACCAAAGCTATATCCTGCTCTTAAACATAACTTCTAAAATAAAAAGGGTGATCAAGACTAAAAAATTAAAGCCCTTGGGGGGAAATGGAAGAAAAACAGAAACAACTTCAAAGGCTTATAAAATCCAAAATCTGGCAATCGACTTGTTTTTCATGGAACTGGGTTTCGTATAGTTTTCGGTTCAGAACAGTAATGAATGGACTTTGGTTTCCATCCATGGATTTCTGCCTTGAATTCAACCTTCTAGTGCAGCTCAGATGTGAGTCCACAGTCAAATAGGCTATTACTGAAGAATCTTAGACTACAAAATGCCCCTTCTTCAGCTGGAAGGAATTTGAGTAGTAATCATGCAATGAAATGCAAAGGCAAAGATTTCTATTCATAGGCTAAATGGGTATCACAGGTATAGCTATGATGCAGTCATTATCTGAAACAATTAATGCTCAGTATCAGCATTACATTCTCTTATTCCCCCCTGATGTTCTCTCTCTCTGGTGCTTCATGTTCTTACAATATTTGAAGAGTTCAATGGAAGCCCGTGTGATATATCAGCTAGGGTGCTGGACTTGCACAGATGAAAACTGGGGGATGGCAGGGGCTGAGCTATGAAGATCACTGGATAATCTCAGGCTAGTAACTCTCTTAGCCTGGCCTACTTCACAGGTCTTTTGTAAGAGTATCACAGAACAACCCCACATACGCTGCTCTGAGTTCCCAAGCTACAAATGTGTCTGTGTGTGTGTGTTTGTTTGTGGGGGGAATCACAATCAAAATAAAAATAACAAAGAAAAAAAAGAAATGTCATTTCTAGACCTGGTAGATTTGGGGGACAGGGGTTTCCTTACCGAATGATCCCCTTTGTGCATAAGGATCTCACCTCTCTCTCCCCCCATAAGAAGAATTGCAACAGATTGCCACCAGACAGGATGAACCCTGTCTGCTCTGTTTCTTGGGGTTTTTGAACCCTATTACATAGCACCTGAAATACACTCGGAGTCGAGAGTGGATTTCATGCTCTTTATTCAGCTCATAGTGGTGAGGAGGAATGGAAGTTCCCCCACAATATCTGCTTTATATACATTATTTACACAATGGGCTGCACGTGATTGGCTAATTCCGCGATTCTCCTGTAGGCCAATCAGGTTGTGGATTCACTTCCACCTGGAGCTGGATTGGGTGGCTCCTGCGGACCAATCATACTGCTGCATTGTTCTAGGACCAATCAGACTGCTGCATTTTGGATCCTATTCAACTCAGTACATAACAGCTCCCTTCACTTCCACCCAACATATATAAAAACATGAAAAAAACATGAAACATTAGAACACTTCCCTAGACAGGGCTGCCTTCAGATGTCTTCTAAGGCAGTGTTTCCCAACCTTTTTTGGGCAAAGGCACACTTGTTTCATGAAAAAAATCTCGAGGCACACCACCATTACAGCCCCGTGACGTCAGCGCGCAGCGTCACGCCGGGAGGGACATGAATTGCTAGCAAATTACATAATCACCTCCTTGAGGGCTGGCTCATCTTCTCCAAAGGCAGAACCCCATTAATTAACAGCACAGACTCACACCATAGCCAAGACGAGGGGGGAAAACCTCAGTCATGCACAGTCATGCACATGTGGGGGCTAAATGAGGACGAAGACCGGGCAGAGAGCAGGGTTCAAATCACCCCACCTGACCAGGACAATCCCTGGGTGCTCCCTTGGGACACTCGCCTGACCCACCTCGCAGGACTGTTGTTGCGAGGATAACACGGGGAGAACCACGCGCGCCCCCGGGAGCTCCTTGGAGGAGAAAGCGGGCGATGAATGCAATGCACGAAATATATGAGAGGCGACCAGGTTTTGCAGGTGAGGGGACCCCGCCAGCCTCCGCTTCCAACACCCGGTGCAACGACGCCGAAGTTTCCCCCCGGGCTCGGCTCGGGGAGCAGCGCTGCTCCCCCCCGGCTCCCCTTCGCCCTCCCGGCTCTCTCTGCCGCCCACTGGGGACCCCCCTCACCTGCCAAGTCCGGAGCGCCGGTGGAAGTTGCATGCATGCATGCAGGGCGCCGCGTTGCCATTGCATTGCACTGCACTCCATGGAATGCCTGCACGCATGCATTGCCTTGCACGCACGCCAAGGGGTCTCCCCGCGGTCCGATGCGTCCCCTCCGGCGCGGATGCAGCATTGCAAAAATAAAAAACCCCCGACGCAGCCCTACCTGGGGGGCAGCCTCCGCCTCCACCGCTCCGCCTCCGCGGGGATCCCCGGGCTCCATCCTGCCACCCGATCTCTGGGGGGCGCAGGCAGGCTGCGCGGGGTCTGCACGGAAGAGCCCCTGCCCGCCCAGCCGCCGCCGCTGCGCTCATTCCATGGCCGGGAGAAGAGCACTTCAAACAAAATGCCCGGCCCGCCAGGCCACGCTGGGAAATGTAGTTCGCGCACCCCGCGCGGGCGCGGAGCCCAAGGGCGAGGGGACTACGGATCCCGGCAGCCCCCGCGCCGGGGACGGAGGGGGAGAGGCCGGGTGCAGGGATGGAGGGACGGGTGGGCGAGCGAGTGAGTGGCAGCCGCCAAGCCTTGGCCGAGAGCCAGGAAGGGCCTCCCCGGAGGAGGAGGAGGAGGAGGGAGGCGCAGAGCGGGAGGGAGGGAGGGAACCCCAGGGGTCATCTAGTGACGGCGCCCCAATCAAAAATTTGACTTTTTTTTAAAAAAAAATATTTCAATTTTTTAATTTTTCCCGCGGCACACCAGGCAACATCTCGCGGCACACTAGTGTGCCGCGGAACAGTGGTTGGGAAACACTGTTCTAAGGGTTGTATCTCCTTATCTCCTTGGTCACATAACTTCATACCCTCCCGAACATTTCTGCAATGGAAACAGGGACATCCTAAGGAAAAGCAGGACATTTAGGGATCAAATCAGGGATGGCTTCTGCAAATCCGGGACTGTCCCTGGAAAACAGGGACACTTGGAGGGTCTGTGATCTTTGGTGGCATATAAATCATCACCATACTATTAACAGCAATGCATTATTATTATTATTATTATTATTATTATTATTATTATTATTATTAACAATATTAGTACCCATGCAGTCTAATTCTCTGGGAGGACCCATATAGGCTGGATCTACACATCAAAAATGTGTTGTAACCCTCAAAGTGGGAAATCACATTGGCGAAAGATGGGACTCCACATCTCCATTATAACAGTGTTATAAAGTGTATAAAACACCTTTCCTTTACTAATGTAGAAGAGTCCACAATTTCCATTTAAAACCAATTGCCTTCCACTCTGCATGCAAGAGGAAAGCCCCAACTGACAGCCCTATTATTATTATTATTATTATTATTATTATTATTATTTATCATCACAATAAGCAAGTGAGTTTGACAGTTGTGGAAGGAAAAGGCAAGTACGCCCCATACCATATATATATGTTAAAGCAGCATCCACTGAAACTGTAACAAAGACACAGCAAACCAGGAAGTCAGGCTCTGGGGCCAAATCCTGCATACATGTGCAGTTAGGGAACTGAATGCCAGGCAGCAAGCCTGCAGTGTAGCTCTAGCTAGCGGAAGCATCACTTTAAAACGAAAAATAGTCTAGACGTTGCTTTCCGTTCCAACACAGTGTATGCCTCAGTGCTTGGTTATAAAAAGCAGCATTTAGATACAGGCCAGGCCTAGGCCTCAGTTTTGGTTAAAAAAGTTCAGTTTTAAAAACAATTAAAACTAGCTCAGCTTTTTTAAAAAAAATAATCCACTGTTGTGGATGTGGTTTTTTTACTGCTTTGGGACTATTTTGGTATACATTTTATTAAACAAAACATATAAGTTGTAACACAAAACTTGAGGTAATTCACACTTTTTTTAAAAAAGCCTCAGTTCAAGCTCAGTGTAAGTTTGGGTTTGTTGTTGTTGTTTAGTGGTTTAGTCGTGTCCGACTCTTTGTGACCCCATGGACCAGAGCACGCCAGGCACTCCTGTCTTCCACAGCCTCCCGCAGTTTGGTCAAATTCATGTTGGCAGCTTCGAGAACACTATCCAACCATCTCGTCCTCTGTCGTCCCCTTCTCCTTGTGCCCTCCATCTTTCCCAACATCAGGGTCTTTTCCAGGGAGT